AATAAAGTCTTACTATTATACGTTGGGGGAGGGATTAGGTCTGGGACAAGCTGCCCAGCCATTACTTAGGGAGAGGAGCGGGGGATGCAGGTGTGGCAGTGCTGGGAGCAGGGGCTCTGCCCCGCTGCTGCTTGCCCAGCCAGGGTGGGATGCAGGTGCAGCTTGCTCCAGGTAGAAGGGGCAAGTGGCAGCAGTGCATAGCCCCCACTCCCAGTGCTGCAGCACCACCATGTCAGCTTGAAGTGGGGGCAGGGCAAAGCCCCCACTCCCAACGCTGATGCAAGTGCAGCAGTGCCAGGAGCAGGGGCTATGCTCTGCTGCCATTTGGAGTAAGCCGCACCTGCATCATGCCCCAACCCCACACTGGCTGGATAAATGGCAGCAGGCCATAGCCCCTGCAGCTCCCCCCACTGGGGCAGAGGCAAGCACAACTGGAGGAGCTGCAGGAGAAGCCCCAGGGCTGCCCTGCCCAACCCCAGCCCCCTCCCAGCCCTTTTTTCTTTTTTTCTTTTTAAAGCCCCATACTCACCCAATCTGGCAGTGGTGATTGGGGTCTCTGAGGGCTCATGGCAGAGTCCCCCTGTGCAGTGCGAGGCAGTAGGGATCACCCCCCGCCACTTGGCAACTGCCTGATGGCGTGGGTGCAGCATGGCTTAGCAGGGCGCCGTGCACTGTCTAGGAGCTGGGGCGGCTCTACATGTGAGCCGGAGCCTGGCACCACTCAGTCCCAGTAGCCCCAGCTCCCAGGCAGAGCACGCCACCCAGCCAAGCCGTGGGCAGCTGCTATGCGGGTGCCAGGCAGGAGAGGTGATCCTTGCTGCTCCCCACTGCCCCGTGCTGTGCAGGGGGACTCTGCCACATGTGCCCAGATGCCCCAGTTGCCCTGCTGCTGCAGCCAGTGTATCCAGGGCTTTTTTTTTTTTTTAAAGTGCCGGGAGGCTGGGCTGGGCTGGGCTGGGCTGGGGATAGGGCTGGGCAGGGCAGCTGTGGGGGCTCCTCCCATGGCTCCCTCCTTCTGGGGAGAGGCAGGCACAGCCAGAGGAGCCACAGGAGAACCTGGAGCTGCCCAGCCATGCCTGCCTCTCTCCAGCTGATCCAAATCACCAAATCTCTCCAAATCAGCACCAAATCCTCCAAAGCCAATTTGGCCAAATCAGTTCAGAACAGTAATCTGAATCTATGAATCAAATCATTGTCCTCAGAATCATCCAAATCTAAATTGACTACTTCTCTATTCACACAGGCCTACTGCTTATGTACTTAAAGTTAAGCATTTACTTCATTGTTGGAAGGATTGAGGTCTTAAAACTGCATTTAGGATTATTTAAAGTGATGAATATTTTAAATAGAAAGCAATACTTTACTGCTGTCTCTTCTTTTTCAAACACAATTTTACAAACAGAAATTATGCACAAGGATGCTGAACACCAGGCATAAAATAACTAATTAAATAAAAACAATTCCAGTTCCCAATACAGAAATTACACAGACCAGATTAAAACACATGTAATATGTTAAACCTACTCTTTGTATCAAAGACTCAGCTGTGTTATGTTCAGTTCAGAGGCTATGATTTAAGATTGACTCCCAAAAAAACCATTTATGAAAGAATAATATTTATGAACATTCACTAATAACATTTAAGAGTATTTATTAATAACATTTATGAATAAGTAACATTTAATAGTTAATGCTTATGAGTATTTAGTAATAATATTTATTAAAATTTAGTAATATTTATGAAAGGAAAGTGAAAATGTAATCATTTTCCAACTAAGACCAAAAAAGATTTTGAAAAGCAATTTTTCCAAAATGTGTCAGGAATTAATAAAATGATGCTATTCTTTAGAGTCCATATGCTCATACACAACCACCTTGCATTCCTTTGTGCCATTTGTGAATTCTAGTGTTAGATTTAAATGTTACCTTGTAGGCCTCGTCCGGGTGTGAAATACTTTGTCTGTTCAAAGGCCCTCGCTACAGCAGGTCCTTTCAGAAGATTGACAATTGAGTCTACCTGTTGGGATCAAATTTCTGTAAGTGGAATACCCTTTTTATAGGGATGTATGCTCTAACAAAAGATGGACAAGGGGAAAAGAGATACACTTAACTTTTAACTGAGTCTCTAAGAACTCAAGACTTGAGACTGTTAGAATAAATCTTAGGAATTGTTCTTTTTGGTAATTATGGGTCAGTAGCCATATAACAGAAATTATATATGACAACCAATTAAGTAATAGAAAGTTGAAGCAGTAAGAAAATATTCATTTGCTCATTTGCTACAACTAATTTTACTTAGATAGCTTGAGTATACATCAATATTATTAAAAAGACTAAGAAAAAAGCCCCCTCGTACCTGACCAAAAAGATGCTCCAAACAGCTATGGAGTTTGTCCTGTTTATCATGAGAAATGCGAACACTTAAGGGAAGTTCATCACCTGTGTGTAAAACAGTTCTACAGTCAAAGTCAGCTTCATGTTTCAGTACAGATTTTAAGCACGCCATGGGTCTCAGCCACTTAACTGCACACATAAGTTGATGCTTAGTAGGTTGCTAAGGCTAGATCCAGCTTTTAGACTAGGAATCTGAAAGTTAAGTGCTTCAGCACCTAATTTGTAGGTTCCTAGACCCCAGTCTGGAATCCTATTAGGCACCTATATTTCCCTGTATTTTATATTAAAAAGTCAATGAATAAAATAGAACAGCAGTCACCAGAATATAGAACTGCCTATTCCAAACTAAGACTAGGTACAGACATCCAAAAAGGCCTGCAGCAGATTTGAACTAACTCACGCAGGTTTCTCTATGTGAACTACACTAATTCAGGAATCAAAAGAACACCATTTCACTCTTTCATGGGGCAGGGGCACAAAGGCTGCCTGCACTGTCCAGGCCAACAGCTTGGGGGTACTCCTGCATGCTTTTCAGTGTGCCAGAGACTGCTGAGGGTAGCCGAACGCAGCAGAGCAGCGGCCACTACTGCCTGGCACATGCCTCTCCCCACTGCCCTGCCACCTGTCAGGCTGCTGTCAGCTGCAAGCAGCCAGCAAAGAGAGGCATACCTGCCCCTGCTTGGGGCAGCATGGGGTCCCTGGGCTTTGTCCCAGGTGGGAGCACAGGGGGACACCCTCTTAATGGCTCTATTTCCACTTACTCTTGACTTCTTCTCAACCCCTTTGGAGCAGAGTTTGCTTATTTGTTTGCAAATGGAGCCACAGGGCTGAGAGCGGCTGTGGCTGTCCTGTTGTGGGGGGAGGTTTCCCTCAGCTCCCCTTCCCTCCCATCACCACCCACATCCTTCAGACTCAACCGCATATGGCAGACCCAGTCCTTGTGGCCAAGTGTGCTCATCACTCTGCTTTTCAACTCACCTTACCCCAAAATTTTCCAGGCCTGATCCAAAGCTCCCGTGAGTCAACAGGAGCCTTGACTGGGCTGCGGGTCAGACCCTTGGAGGTTTCTCCCATTTCCTGCAACCCTGTCCAAAGGCTTCCTCCAGATCTCTCTCCCTCCTACCTCACACTTCCCCAGCCTCTGAAGTGGAGCCCACAGAAGGCTTGCTTTTGGCCAGCCCTCCACCATGTGAACACATGTGCAGCAGACAAGCCAGCCAGGGTGGGGGTGCCCCTGCACATGCAGCTGATGAACCCTGTGATCCTGGGACCCAAGAAGGAGGGAGCTGGCACCCCACTCCTCTCTGCACCAGGGGAATTTGCAGGAGCAAGGGAGGGCATGGGCATGAGCCCAGAGCTGCTAAAGGCAAAGACTTAAACAGCTGAGGATGGCAGGGGAGGTGTGTGTGTGTATATGCATGCATGTGCACATGTGTGTCCATCCCCACATCCCAGCCCGGGAGTGGTGGGGATCCTAGATCAGCATTTTGCTTGCAGCTGCCACATCAGATGGAGAGCTCTGAATAACAAAGACAAGCTTGAGAGTAGCAGAGGAGCTGGCTGAGTGCCATCAGGGAACAATGCCTGTGCCAGCAGCACTGACACGCACACAGGTATGTGCACCCCCACACACAGCCACTTCTCTCACTCCTCAGTGTTACTTACACACGTGCACACTCACACACAACTGTGCTCTGATACTCAGCTCCTTAAAGGGACAATGGCCTTTCTGCCTTAGGCACCCAGGGAAGGAGTATCCCCTACCCCACCCCCATCCTCAGCCAGCTGCTGTTGCCACTGCAGAACCAGGCATGGGGAAAATTTGTCTGACTGCTTCTGGCTGACTAACACACACACCCCTCCACCCCATGAAACCCCATGTCATACCCTGCCAAGCACCAGTGCCAGAATCAGTAGCAGTAGCTCAGGAAAATGGTAGCTGCAGCTCCAATTTCCACCCCTCCATGCCACAGCCCCGCACACGGTACAGCAGCCTGCAGCCATCACTTGTTCACTCTGGCTGCCCTGCCCTGCCCTGTTGCCACTGCCTGCTTGGGCTCCAAGGGACCCAGTCCTTCCAACTGCAGAGCATCATGGTCCCTCACCTGGGGAACTTGTATAAAAATAGATAGAAAGAAATACAGAAAAATACAGATAGAAAAATACAGAGCTACAGATGCTCCCTCCTACCACCTGAGGCTGAGGCTGACAGCTCAGAGCAACCAAGCAAGAACCAAGTTCCAGTGCACCTCTATGTGAAGTGGGAAGTGGGCAGTCACAAAGGTACCCAAGATGCTGGCAGACTGTGACCTAACTTAAGTCAGCAGGGGATCTGGAGTTCAATCGACTAGTCTAACCCAAACCTATTAAGTCTGATAATACATACATCCAGGTCTATCTTATATTGGGTTCCTCCATTTTTAAACAGTCTATGTGCCTTGAACTTCTGTTTACTTACAGGTGTAGGCCAGTTTTCAGTCACTTATGCCGGTTTGTGTGTAACATCTATACCTGGCCTAAATAGACTAACCAATAATTTACAAAACTATGCTTCCTCTTGCTCACACTATCCCTGCCCCAGTTAATCCTGAACAATTTTCTGCACAATAGCACAGATTCCAAAGGAAGGGAGAAGTGTTCCCACTGAGACTAGTGTACAGGATGGAGATTATGACTCTCTGCTAGGAGGTGGGGGAATATAGGCTTGAATCCTATCCAGGTTGTAGAGGGAACTGGGCACGTAATTCCAGCTTCTAGACAATTATACATATCCCCCTCAGAGGACTTCTGCTTCATTTATGATACCAAATGGGTTTAACCAAGTGCTAGGTGCCCAGCTGTTCTGGCTAGGGCAGCTTTATATGTGCACTTGAGGAATTTACAGGTCAAACAAGGAAGTGCCTCATAAATTAATCACCTGCAGAATTAGGCAGAAGCTGAGCAGGCATTTTTGGTATCACAATTTTGGTTTAATATTCCTAAATGGTGATTAAGTTTTTTAAAGGATTTAGCCCTTAGCCTTTTCTGTATTTACTACTTCACACTCACATGTCAGTTTCTTTCCTATAGTATTTTTCAAATTCAGCAAGTGAAAATTAGTAAGAAAAATATTTTGCATTTGTACATCTTTCATGCAAGGCTCTCACATCACCCCTCCTGAAGCACAGAACTTCTGTATTATTACACTTGCATATAAACTCACAGAAACGTTAATCACTTGGGGAGGGTGCAGAGCTAATTTGTGGCATGCCTGCCAAAATGGCTGGCCCCTACTGACTTGGGGTATAGACAGGCATTCATCTAAAGCACTAAGAATCTTCAGGATTCTCCTGTGGCTTGTATATAATACCAAAGATGCTGACACAACAGGAACATATATTTTTTGCAATGCAGAAAGGCTTAGAAGGTGAATTCCTGCCATGTTTCTGTTGTAGGTAGAAGAGAACAAAACAAAAAATCCACCTGGCAACCTATAAGCCCAACTCTGCTTCCCTAGGGACAGAAGAGTTTGGCTTGAATGACAGACTCTTTGGAGATGTGGTAGGGGGTGAGAGGCAAACAGCAAAGCCTCCTGGGATGCTGGAGGACCAAGGCACACCCTGTGGCACTATGATTAATTGTATGACTAACTATATTGGTATTTCATGTGGCGCCGAAAACCATCATGTTGCAATAAATTGCTGTGGGAAAGAGCTAACATTTCATCACCATGTTTTATCCAAAATAAACCACTTGCAAAACTGTAGTCTCTCTTTCTGCAGTACTAAAAGGGTGCATTTCTTGCTACAAATAGAATGCCTGTCCATGGCCTCAGTGATTATTACTCTTACCTAGAAGGGGGAAGACTTGGGTCCTAGGCCTTTCTCACTATAACACCTCCCACCTTCTAAGTTAGAGGTTAGCCTGGTTGGGAGCAATCCCCACTCCTGTTGAATTTGGCTTGCTGTTCATGCATTTTTCCAATTAACCCAATGGGGGCTGGACTAGATAGCACAAGAGTTTCATAGTTTCATAGTTAGTAGGGTCAGAAGGGACCTGAGCAGTTCATCAAGTCTAACCCCCCACCATGGGCAGGAAAGAATGCTGAGGTCAAACGACCCCAGCTAGGTGATTATCTAGCCTCCTTTTGAAGACCCCCAAGGTAAGAGCGAGCACCATTTCCCTTGGAAATTGGTTCCTGATCCTAGCCACCCTGACTGTGAAGTAGTGCTTCCTGATGTCTAGGTCCCCTCCAATCCTATGATTCTGTGACACTAAATCAAAGAGCTAAGCAGAACTTGGAAGCAGGGACCAAAGCACGAGGCTCTCCTTCCTTCCTTCCTCCCTCTCCAAGGAAGTGTTATGTTGCCTCTTGCTTGCTCTTCCTGTGGTTCCAGGAATCTTGCAACCCTTTATGTGCAGTGACCAGCTTCAATAGGAGGGGCAGAAAATGCCTTCAGTTCAGCTGAGCTTCAAGCCTGGCAGTAGAAAAGTTTCCTAGGATAGGGGAAATTTGGGGTTCAACATCTGCAGGTATAGATGGCCTATGGAGGGAAACTGATCTAACTACTAGGCTATTATGTAAAGGTAGCCACTGCACTACTGATTTTCAGCAATAAAGAACTTGGACACTGACCTCTGTTAGCATAAGATACATGTGGCCTAAGAATACTAAAAGGGAACTTCTGGAGGGACTGGATGTATTCAAGTCAGCT